TATGCCACTACTACATGTAATTGACTGCATGTCTGTTTTCCCAGCTAATTGCATGCATCAAGTCTTACTCCGTTTTGAGTTTCCTGTGCCTAGTACAGTGCCTGGCACCCCACTAAGTGCTCAATAAATGTGCATAGAATGGATAAACCCCATGCAAGGGGGATAAGCAGGAAACAGTAGAGATGGTAGTTTTGTTTGCAGGGGTTTGTTTAATTGTTGTTTGGTTTTGTTAGTAATATAAAGTTGGTGATAGTGCGTAGTGGGGAAAAGACTTGGCATTTGTAAACTTTTGATATGATCTGCAATCCATATTAGAATTTTGGGATTTTTGTACTGAGGAAAAAAAAAATGGGGGAAATTAAAGAGATCTCTAAGTTTCTTCCCTAAAGCTTCCTTGCCTTTTCCCTAAGGGCATAAATAGAAGCCTTGGGTATGCACAGAGAACCAGGAACCCCACTGGCCGTATGTGGGGAAAGGCACCTCCTGTGTAATTGGATATAAAAAAAGAAAATCTCTTTAAGACAGACACAAGGTTTTGGCTGAATTTCAGCCACATACCTATTCTAAGCTGAATTTGGGTATAGCCCTAATAATTACAGTTACTCTTTAGAGAAAGAGCCCAAGAGGTTTACCTGGAGATTTTTTCCAGATGTAATCAGGTATGTGAAACGCGCAGTAATGAAGATGTAAACCGGATGAGGCCATTCTGTGCCCCATGGTCTTCTCTCCAATCGCTCCGATGCTAGGAGATGTTCCCCAGCAATCGTGAGGATGATGCAACACAGCCATCTAACAAACACCAGATGCCTGACTAGACTTACAAGCTATAGTGTTAAAGAGAAGGGGGGCAAACCCCAAGTTTGAATGCTTTTGCAGTTATCAATCTGTCATGAATTGTAATCAAACAGAAACAAACCTCTTTATTCCATCAGTTCCTGGGATAGGTCTATCGTATGTCCTGCAGACATGCTCTGGGTGTGGATAGAGACCTCAGGAATCTGTCCCCCTCCTTCACTCTCCCACTACAGTCTGACTTAGTGACATCAGTAAGGCCACCCCACTCCCATTCCCACTACCTGGGTTCTATATCTTTTCAGATGAGGAAAGAATAACTGGATCAGCTGTGCCAGAAACCAAATATTTGGGTCAAATACATCTTTAGTATCTTCTCTTTTCTTCCCTTCCTGTATTCTTCCCTTTTTCCATATGAATCCAGAATATGGCTTATTTTTCTTCCTGTGGTAGTTAGAATTATTAGGAGTATTAAAGTTAGCCCTTAGGAAAAGAAAAAAATGTCACCAAAGTGTAAAAAAAATTAAGGTGTACAAATGCATAATTAGCCCTCTCCAAAATAAAGCAGTCACATTGCAGAATATATTTTGGAAGGGCAAATTGCAATTAACTAAAAATAAATAACAAATAATATAAACATTTCTTCCAGGTAAAAACTCACCCACAAGTGAACACTATCCAAATAGCTTAGTATCCTACATTGGAGGCAGTTTAGTGTGGAGTAGGGAGCACAGCCTTTGAAATCACATGAACTTGGATTTCAACTGAGCTTGGCCATATACTTGCTATGTAACTTATTTTGACTGTTTTGAGCTTTAGCACCATCATCTGTAAAATGGGGATAAGACTACCTAACCAAACATTAGAGATAATGGATCGAGTGCCTGACTTATAGAGGTTATTAAATATACAATATCAATAAGGTGAAAAGAAACCCCACGCTGAGATTGAAGGCCTTGGGACTAATGCTTTAGGCAACCTCCCCTTAACTCTTAGGACTCTCTCCTGGGCTAACACGCCTAACCTCTCTTACTCTGCTTTCTTGATATTTAGACTTCTACACCTTTGTGCTGAACTAAGCACTTAATTACCAATTTACTTGCCCTTCTGCTTATTCCTGAAAATCTATCAGGTCCCTCCTGAGCGTGAATGATAATAAGGGCGAGTATGTGTTTGCTGGGTGTGGTGGGGTGGACACTGCAGGGAGGGGAGTTGAAACCTTGAAATAAGAATGAGGCTCCCTGGCATCCATAATCACACTCAACATGGGGAAAATCTCATGTGGGCTGAGATGCTGATCTGGCTCCCAAATCTTGGGTCACTACGATCTCTTCTCATGATGGTTCCTTAAAAGCTCCTGGGCCCTTGGGGCCGGCCTGGTGGCGCACTGGATAGTGCGCTGCTTGGGAAGCGCGGCGGCGCTCCCGCCTGAGGGTTCGGATCCCACATACAGACCGGTTCCCGCTCACTGGCTGAGCGAGGCGCGGGAGCAACGCCGAGGGTTGCGATCCCGTTGCTGGTCCTGGTCCGGTACGGGGGCGACACTGAGGGTTGCGATCCGTTGCCGGACACGAAAAAAGACAAAAAAAAGCTCCTGGGCCGAGCCCGTGGCGCACTCGGGAGAGTGCAGCACTGGGAGTGCAGCAGCGCTCCCACAGCAGGTTCGGGTCCTATATAGGGATGGCTGCTGCACTCACTGGCTGAGCGCGGTGCAGCCGGTCTCAAAAAAAAAGCTCCTTACTTGCATGACAGCCTTTCAGGTGTGGTGGTGGGGTGGGGGATGCTGGGGGGAGGGGGCGGTCAGAGGCAGTATCAGAGCTGCCTGGCTTAGAGCCTGCAGTCATCTTCAGGCCAATCCCTCTCAGGTTAGCCCAGGACAAGACCAGCCTCTGGGAGCAAGTAGATGGGAAGAGTTCTTGCCAGAGTATTCTTTCATGGCATATGGCATTGATTCAGGCTTCACATTAAAACAGTGCAATTTCAAACAGTTGTGTGAGCACAATGAACTCTGGTTAAAAGTCAGTACAGGGTGCTTGTAAGCCTGTCCCAAGGACATTTTTTTTTTTAATTCAACCTTTCTCATATGCCAGCACCTTCTAGAAGTCTTTTTATTGTTAAAGTGTGGGTAATAACAGCAGTCTTCTGAGAAAAAAAAAAGAGTCAAGATTCAGGTACATGACACCTTTGTAGAGATTTCTTGAAAGATTACAAAAACATGATGATGGTGAAAGGTACAGGTACAAAGAAATGGAAGAGATGGGAAAAGCCATATGAAAATTTATACACGGAGATGTGTTCTCTAATTCTTGGAGTTACTGAGATGAGCCTGCTGTAGACATCCTGTGGTTCTAGACAGGCACTGGCAAGCACTACCAGGCAGCCCAGGTTCAACTCAGAAATGCAAATGGGAATAAAGGTGGTGCTCATGGATAAGGACAAGCTAGTCCTCCAGAAGGACATAAATGGGCAGTGAAGGACAACAATAGCTGAAAGGCATGAAACTTTGGGAAAACTACTTCATTCATCCTGGGAAAACCAGTGATGACAAAACAGGCCATATTTGAGGGTCAGGTGTAAATGCTTTTCAAATGAATATTAATTGAAGTTTTCTCACTGAAAGTTCTAAGGCAGTGGTTCTCAAACATGAACAAGCAGAAGAATCACATGGAGGGCTTGCTAAAACGCAGACTGCTAAAGTCTCATTTCTTATTTATTTTTAGTTAGTTGCAATTCGCCCTTCCAAAATCAGAATTCTCATCAGAATTTCTGATTAAGTCAGTCCAGCATGAGGCCTGAAAACCTGTATTCCTGGCAAGTTCCCAGGTGATGCTGATGCTTCAGTCTGAGGACCACACTATGAGAAACACCGTTCTAAGATACACTACATGAAATTGCCAGCCTGTGAATTTTAGAATCCCAGGTATATGCCTTAAAGAATTGGTTGAAAAAAGAAAGTCCTCATCACCCCTCTTCCCCCTAAAATAAATAAACCAACAAAACCAAACAAATAAAAAATGAAACATTTCAACAACAGATAATACTATACCCAAAGTCATATATAGATATGATTTTTTTTTTTGTCTTTTTTCGTGTCCGGCAACGGATCGCAACCCTCAGTGTCGTGCCCGTACCGGACCGGGACCGGCAACGGGATCGCAACCCTCGGTGCTGCGCCCGCACCTCGCTCAGCCAGTGAGCGGGAACCGGTCTGTATGTGGGATCCA